ATCTATTTCAGGCATATTCCACTGTGACAGTCATAGCCCTGGTTGACTGTAATGTACAGACAAAATCTACCAAATGAGTAACCTTGTGAGGAAAAGGCGTTATACTACTCCAAGCAAATCTTGACAATTGTGGAAAATTAGATGTGGAAAAATTCATCTTTTGTGTCTTAATTAGCGTTCATCTGCAAGAACTCAAGAAAACATTAGAGATCCATCTTGTTCAGCCTTGGATATCTCGGTAGTCTATAGCGCAATGAAACATTCATACCTAGTACAATAAATGTTTTATATAAAGCACTTAAAAAAAAAACATCTGAAAATGCTTTGGAATAAACAAAGCATATTTCACAATACTGTTAAAGAACTGCAAAACTGAAAACAAGGCAGGTGCAGAAAATAACATTTCCGAAAGTACAGTATTTGGAAAAGATTGAAAACTGCTCAGTGTGTGTCAATGGCCCTAATTTCTTCTGGATGATGTTCCAGAGCTTTGGGGCATAGCAACACAAGACCCGCAAGGGCACACCGTACAAAAACACAGTAGTCCAGAGTTGTGTGGAATAGAACAGATGCATTATGGATGCTAAGTAGTCTTTCCACATAGAACTTTGAACATTAAACTGTTTCAAACTTGGAACCTGACAGGGAGCCAATACAGAGACAAGACGGTTGTGATGTGACTTGTGTAACTTAAGTGTTTAAGATAGTTTAGCTGCTGATTTACTTTTTTTTTGCTGACACTTTTAACTGAAGCATTTATATTTGCACTTTTACCTGTACCTGTACCTCTTTCAATGACTCGGCAGCCAGGTCCAACCTCACAACCTTGCAGTTGCAGTCCAGTCCAGATCCCTAACCACTGCTCCACACTGCTGCACCCTGCAAGCAAGCAGGGTGTTTACAATAATCAATCCTTCAGAAAGAAAACGCAGTAACTGTTATTCCACTACAGACACGGATGACAATGATCAGAGGACCCTCCTCTTCCCTGGTTCTGGCCCCTGTTTTGAGACTGAATACAAGGTTTGGTATTACTTGGACAGTTCTCTGTAGGATAAGCACAGGCGGTTTTCCAAATCAATTGCTTGGCTTGGAAATGTGTTCAGGAAGCGATCTGAATCTCTCTCTTACACCCTTACACTCTCCTTCACCCTCTGTTTCCCTCGTTCTCTAGGGTCCATGTTCAGCTGTGTCTATGGCCAGGAGAACTCCACCTTGCTGTCCTCGAATCGTAAGTGTTGTCGCCTCTCTGGAGCAGCTCAGGCCCTCAGACCCGGGGGAAGTGAAATTCTGTATTCTGGGGGTGTTTTTTATACTCATCAGGCGGTGGCTTCCTGCACAACATGCATCTGCAATCCCGGTGGGGGTCATCTTCCCAATCGGAAAGGTGCAGCTCTATGACTTGCTCTGCCTTTTGCTTTATAGATGTGTAAGCACTGCATGTGTATTTCTAGCTATAGTCCTCTCTCCAATGTACAGTCAAGCCCCAGATGGGCCCTGCAGTTGACAAGGAAGCAAAGGAGGCATTTTAATGTGGCAGCACAAGTGATGCCTGTGTACACAGAGCCCTTCTGTTCTAGAATGAGCTCCCTAGTCAAAGGGACAGTTTGGATTTTGCCTCTGTGTGCCGCAATCCTACCTGTGTTTGTGTTTTGCTGTGTGTGGGGGGGGGACGTGTGGTGAAGATGATGCAGCGTTTGTAAGCTCTCCAAACCAGGTGATTCCTGTAAACACCGGTTTGTATGTATTTTTGGTCAGCGTGTGTATCCGAGTCAGCGTGCCAGGAGTTACAAGAGATCCAGTGTGCTCGCTCGCAGCGGTTTCCTAACCTGCAGGGGTTAAGTCGCATTCTACAGGTGTTACTAATTCTTTCAAAATTAGTATGGCTTTGCCGCAGGCAGATCACCAGCCCACAAGCAACTCCCTTATCACAGGGGATCAGAGGAACAGAAGTCTCTTTTGATGCCTCCTCCTTCCCTAATGGAGTGTTATGATCATACCTGGTAGTTCAGTGAGGAAGATCCCCCCCCTCTTGTGAAGAGCAGGACTTTGGCAATGAGGAGAAACTCTTCCAGTCTGGGGGCTCCGGAGATGCAGAAGTTCAGAGGGCAGGTTGGGCCCTATAGGCCAGGGTGGGCTAGTTCTCAGGTGGGCTGACATTAGCCAGGCATGACTGGGGTAACAGTGACCTGAGCTCTGCTGGGCTGTCTGTTGCTTGAGGATGACGAAAGGAGGGCTAGCTGTGCAATCAGAAACCGGTGGGCTCACAGTGTTTTCTGTGGAATCCCTCCCCCTCTGTCTGATACCTTAGCTTTGGGGGTTGTGGGATAATGGTGCTGAATGTACCCCTCTGACCTGATGATCTGTACCTCATATGTCATCGTCATCTGCCCTGAGCTGGCGCGTCTCGGCTTCGGGCCTGTGGCTTAATCCACTGCTGTTACCTGCACGAGTACAAAAGTTCGAGCAGTGCACCGTGCTTATTTAGTCACCCCAAGATGGTCACGAGTACAAAAAGAAGCATTGGACTGGTACAAGCTAGAAAAAAAAACTACCCAGGAAATTGCCTCTAAAAAAAGTTACCTTAGGTACTCACCTGTAAGTAAGGGAGAGGTAGGGATAATGTGTCCCCATGTCTGATGCAAACAGACTCCTATTGCACAGCGGTTTGATCCCTTTCAAGTTTTACCAGCTGCCGGTTTCTTTGTACGACATATCCAGCCCCTGGGTTTGGTTTATGTTTCAGGGAGTATACTGTCCACCCTGAATTGGTGTGTCGCCCTAGAGAGCGGCATCTCCTTAGCAAATATTAGAAGAATTATAAAATAAATGACATAGATGGGCATATTATGTTAAGGTGTTAGTAAAGTTCTGTATTGTTTGGGACAAATCCTGGTGTTCTGCTCACTTGGAGTCCAGTCAGCTACCCTGGTAGCTGTGCGTGCGATCTGTTAGTGTACACGTCTGTGTTTGACAGAGCCTGAGGAATGTGAGCAGGTCTGAGCATGCTGAGCCATAGAGTGTCATCACCATTACACTCTCCAACATGACTCCCTGCCCAAGTTAACCCAGAGCACCACATAGCCAAAACATCCCGTCTCTGGCACCCTCCCTGATCTCCAAGCTGATGTGTGATTCCAGTTTTGGCAAGTCGGTTCCAACTGCCCTGCTGTGCTGCTGCCTCCTCCTTCAGAGCGCAACCCTACAAAATAGCAATGATGTCACTTCCTCCCCCCCGTTCCAGGTGATTCACTCTCTGATTGGCCGCAGGTTGGGGGGGGGGGGTCAGTGACATCACTGGGTTTGTGGTGGCCAACACCCTTCCAGAATCTCATACCTGAACTTCATTCCATTCTGGCCTTTCGTCACTGATAGCAAAGGATATCCTGCCCTGTGCATACAGTATGTGGATTTGTGGCTGTTGTGTGAGTCTTTCTTTCTTCACCGCATCTGTCTACTGTACATTACCAGCAGCCATATCTCCCTGCAGCTTACAGCTGGCAGCCCCACTGGAGCTCAGCAGGTGTAAGCCTGGACAGTACCTGGATGGGAGACCTCCTGGGAAAGCTAAGGTTGCTGCTGGAAGAGATGTTAGTGGGGCCAGTAGGGGGGCGCTCACCCTGCGGTCTGTGTGGTCCTTATGCCCCAGTATAGTGACGGGGACACTATACTGTAAAAAGGCGCTATCCTTTGGATAAGATGTAAAACCAAAGTCCTAACTCTCATTAGAAAGAGTAGGGGTGTAACCCTGGTGTCCTGGCCAAATTTCCCCCTGGCCCTTACCAATCATGGCCTCCTAATAATCCCCATCTCTGAACTGGCTTCATCACTGTTCTCCTCCCCACTGAGAGCTGGTGTGTGTGAGTGTACTGGAGCATCAGGCGTGTGCTGCACATTGCTGGTGGTGGAGGGGAGTTCCCAATCCCCTATTAAAAGTGCCTTATAAGTATAAGGAATTATTATTATATCCATGTTCTACATTTAATCCCTTACTTTCCATTCTAGTTTGGGTTGACTCCTGCTTAAAAACCCTTCACATGCTGGCTGCTGGCTGGCCTAGCCAAATATTGTTGAGTATTATTAGTTAGTGGCAGGAGTGTGGCATCACCGCTCCACTGATGATTTCTGTCGAGAAATGTCATTTCTGTGGAGCAGTATTATTTAAGAAGGAAGTGTGGTAGACCACTGTAAAAGGATCTTTCACCTCAACCAGGAGATCTATCCAGTGGCCAGTTTTCATGAGAATCTGTGATTTTGAGGCTCATTTTTGCTGTTTTAAAAAAAACAACAAATATTTAACATCAACTCCTCAAGAAGGCAGGAGAGGGCTTGCTTAATTTATTCCCATTGCGTTATTCCTTCGTGTGAAAGCTGCGTTTGAAAGCAGCTTCACAGAAGTGGGTGGCAGCTAGCGGTAAGACCCGCTCTGTGATTCCAGACATTAACGTTCTTCTGCCAGCGCAAGAATGGGAGATAAAGATAGAAATGTTGAAAGGGAAGATACGAAAAGAGATTTTTGTGACCTGAGGGAGCTGGCAGGTGTCCAGGCTATTTGCTGAGGGCCTAATGGCTGTGAGTGCCGAGTTCCCGCTTTCTGTGGCCTCTCTCTCCCTGTGCGACTGCTCTGAAAGGACATTTGAGATGCTTGGCTGCTCCAGAATTGAGGGCTGTTTGTGTGTTGCAGCCACCCCACTGGAAGCAGAGCTGCTCACTTTGGAAAGCAAATCAATGAAAACCTGCACCCCAGGAGGGCTGAGGAATGAGGAGGGGGCGCCCCCTTGGACCCGTGCTCTGAATCGCTGATCACCAGCAGAATATACTGTAGCAGTGTTTTGGATATGGGGGATTAACCCCCTAACGTTCAAGCCCCCACCTGGCCGAGGAGTAGGAACAAGAGTGGCGGATCAGGGCATCTCTGTTCTGCATGTCCCGGCTTGTTCAGTCGATGCCCTGTTCCTCCGCAGGCTGCCTCCGAGCGATCCCAGAAAATCAGTTTCCTGGTTCTTTTCCGCATTGTATCTCTCAGCATTGGCAGGTTTAAGGTTTAACAGTGCGAGCAATCTGTTGTGTAGCGACACTGCCGAAGGAGATAAGTTTCCAGCGAAACCGCCCAGGACTGAAGCATCTTTACTCGGGAGACAGCTGCTGAGAGGGGCAGACGGGTCTTCGAGGGGGCTGTAACAGATAGCTGCCCTTTTGTGCTCTGCAGACAAGGTGAGGCAGCACACAGCTGGGGTGTCTTTGGGGAAAGCTGCTCATCCTGTTCTGGGATGCTGCAGAGGGATATGATTATGGGAAGGGGGCCCGGATAATGCCCACCCCCCCACCCCCCCGCCACCTGTCCCAGCTGAGTCACACCTGAGAAGACAGGTGTGTCTGCGCCTGCCTTTGAAATTGAGACTTCTCCATCAGAGAGGAGAGACATCAAAGATCCGAAACCCAAAACCCGATGTTGTATTGTCCAGACAGTCTGTCTGAATGACTGTCTGTGGGAGGAGGGGGGAACAGTCAGTCAGCTGGTCTGCTGCATCAAAGGCTTTTATGTGACACATGCCCCTTTCATCTCTCGTATCTTTAACCGTCTTGCGTTTCTGAAATGCAACGGGCTTCTAAAACATCGGGATCTTGCAGAAGGAGAGGAGAACAGACCAGAGCAAGGACATAATATTGTTGTCGTGCTCCTAATAATAAGACCGCAGCGTCAGCAGGTGCAGATGTGACACAAACACAGCTGTGTTTAGCTTAGCTTTGATCATCATGCAGGCCTGATGCAGATGGTCCACTAAGGACCCTATACTTACGCCTCGGGGGGTGAAGGAGGGGTGGGGGAAAGGAATCGGAGAGTAATCCGTACTGACTAAATCTCGGAGGATCCCTGTATAACAGCTTCAACCTGAACATGTGGTAAACCTTTCAATGTTTTAAAATAAGAATTTCTTCCATCGTGTGGCTGTCAGTGGTGCAGTGGTTCACGTTGCTGCCTTACAGCTCTGGGGCCCTCCTGGGTTCAGTTCCTGGGGTCCTATCTGTGTAGAGTTGGTATGTTCCCTCTGTTTGGTTTGGTCTATGGAAGGAAACTGGAGCACCCAGAGGAAACCCACGCAAAGATATACTGGTAGATCCATTGGCAGGTTCGTTGGCTTCTGCGAAAAGTGACCCTGCGTTTCTGCGTGTGCTCTGCTATGCACTGGCATCTGGTCCAGAGTGGCTCCTACTTTGTGCCCGCTGCTTGCTGGGATAGGCTCCAGCTCCCCCACAACCCTGGTTTGGAAAAAGAGACAAGAAAATGGATGGTTGGCAATTCTTCCATTATTCCTCATGTGGCATATGGAATTGACACTCACTTTCCGGCTGCATTCCTCACTCCTGGCTGGTGTGACGGACGAGCAGAAATTGACACAACCTTGGCTTCTGGAACAGTATCATGTCCTGTCTGCCTGGAATGGAGAATGCAGGTTTGTGGTGGTTTTGGTAAGAATGGGATTGATCCTCTGTCCAAACCTGAGCTCTGCTGTTAATGAGCTAAACATAGAGCAGGCGGCTTAATGGCACATATGTGGTCTTCACCTCGTCCACAGGTGTGCTGTGAGGAGTTGTCGTAATTATATGTGCCAGAATGGTAGGTTAACGAAGGAACATAAATGTTGCAAATGCAAGGAAGTTATCCAAATCTACATGTCATGGATATCAGAAGCTAATGTGTTGGTCAGTCACTTGTAGAAGGAACCCAGGGAATGGACTTCAGCTTAACATAGTTAGAGCGCCATGTTCCAGGCACCCACCATCCTTTGCGTAAAGCCTTCTGTTTTTCAGTTTTAAACTCACGTCCTCCAGATTTCACTTTGCGTCCCTGAGTCCTCGTATCGTTGTCGATCCTGAAAAGGCTAGAACTGTCGTTTGTAATTGTGGAAAATGACTGTGCTGAAAAGCGGAACCCCGCAGCGTTGGGAAAAGAGGGGATGGACAGTTCCGAGACAGATGCCCGCCGTACCCGCGGTGTCGAAGGGGGGAGAGGGAGGGATGGAGATTTGGGTTTTGACAAAGTCGCAGCGGGTTTCCATTAATTCAGTGTCAGTCTGAATGGTCCTGCTGCTCCTCTGGTCTCAGTCATCAAGACAGTGAGGTTTGCAAACCCCAGTGCCCACATTACCCAAGTCACCATGGAGTTGTCTGCAGAATCCAGCCATTTATCTGTTTTTAATTTCGTGCCTTTTCACTTTTGTTATTTATTCCTAGCCAGTCACCCGGTTGAAGAACCAGCTATTCTGGAGGGGAAAAAGCAAAGAAGTTCTGAAAAGAATTCTTTACACTGATTGTTTTTACGTTTTTTTTGTTGTCTTCTGCTTTTGACTGAAGCCTTAACTGCTTAGTCTGAAGTCACCAGTGAGAGCTGCTGTAAGGACAATTTAGTAGATATGACCACAGGACAGTACTGTAACACAGATGTATTATGTCTAACTGTAGTGTGCTTGTAATAAACCACGTGAACATATAAGAAATGGGCAGTAACTGGTATGATACTATTTAAAATGTGCAGTGTGCAAGTAGAGCAGTTTTGCTGGTAATATATGCACATGTACCGTTAAATTAAAATGCAGGGGGTCACTGTGGGATCTGAAGGTGTGATCTAGACAGGACTGAGAGAGGCAGAGAGACAGTGCAGTACTGCAGGGGCAGGGGCACTGTGTGGTCTGGACAGGACTGAGAGAGGCAGAGACAGTGCAGTACTGCAGGGGTCACTGTGTGGTCTGGACAGGACTGAGAGAGGCAGAGAGACAGTGCGGTACTGCAGGGGCAGAGAGACACTGTGAGATCTGCAGGTATGATCTGGACTGGAGAGAAGGTGTAGTCCTGACATTGGAAAGGAAACAGATCAGACTCGCATTGAAAAGCAGTGTGATCCACATCCATCTTAATTTTCATAAGACTCTTTGTTGAAAGCAAGTTAACAACCATAAAACATCAAGTAACTGAGTAAGTAGTTAAGTAGTTAGTTAGCCTAGGGCTTGTATTAGAATCTTATATTTCCCAAATTGTAATTAGAAATGATGTATTTCTAACTTTCATAGGTGGTTTCAGAAGCATTTGAGTCACAGAAGACTTCTCATTTTGTCTCTCTCCAAACAAAGGTTTAATAAAGACACTCTCTCTCTCCATCCTCTATCACTCCTAACTTTTTTTCTTTCTCTCACCCCTCCTTCCTGTTTCTCCTGCCCCCTGCCTTGTCTTGCCCTTCCTAGATGTCCCTCTGGCCGAGCCAGTGCGCTCTCACTTTGGCGACTGCCCCGATACACACAGTCATTTTTGTTTCCATGGCACCTGCCGCTTCCTGGTCCAGGAGGATACGCCCGCCTGCGTGTAAGTCTCCCCGCCCCTCTTCCCATGACCGCTTCCTGTAGAGGCAGACACGCGCGCACTCTATACACACACACACATCGTTTCCTCTGGGGGGGGGTTTCACCCTGTTGTTGTTTTTTTATCTTGCTCTCCGTAAGGCTCAGTTGGAAAGCTTTAAGGACCAGCTGCTTCCAGCAATCTGAGCTCAGCATTAAAGACAAACCTGGACGCTGTCCATTTTAAAAAAAAATGGTTAAAATACATACAAATTCTCTTTTTGGTTCTGAGATTTTATTGTTGCACCCTGACCTTCACTAAATTGGCTGTGCTGCTAGACTTGTGATATTTCTGTTGGCTCCCTTAACGAAGCGTATCTTAGACTCCAGTAAACAACTCCAGTGACACGGGGTATTAATCTGACCAGTGCCGTGCTGCAGCGCACAGGGGATTAGGCACGGCTAACGCTTGTTTCTCTCTCTCCCGGTTCGGGCTGCCTCCCCCTCAGATGTCACCCGGGGTTCGTGGGGATGCGCTGTGAGCACGCCGACCTCCTGGCAGTGGTGGCGACCAACCAGCAGCAGCAGACGATCGCCACCCTGCTGGTGCTGTCGGTGGTGGGCTGCGTGCTCCTGATCCTGACCTGCACGCTCATCCAGTGAGTGGCCACGTGAATCCTTGTGCGCCGTACACGCTTGTGACACGGTGGTGGGGGGGGGGACACGGACAGCCTTGTGGTCTCCCGGCAGGCCCACCGCTGCCTGGGAGGCAGCAGCTCAGGGGGAAACGGTATCCATTTGTCGTAGCGATCCCTTTACAAAAAACGTGCATTACAATCTGTAATCTGATTACAGCTCTTGTCAGTGTAATAACCAGCAGGATTGTTTTTATTTCCTGAATGATTCCCACCTAAAAAAACCAACATAACCACCACCAGGCCTCACTTTAAAGCACTGAGTACATACGCACTCCTTCTCAGACTCCACAAGTTCAAAGGCTATGGGAGTGTGGCCATATGAATGCTGGTACAGCCTTGTCAGCAACCAGGAAAGGGGCTTGTGGCTGGGGAGAGGGAGGTGAGATTAATTAGGCAAGTCTTTTGTACCTTATTGATGTTCTCCTCCCTTTCTGCCTCTGGAGTGCTAATTAGAAACCATACTTGCTCTGTTAAGTGCGGGGGCTTGGAGCAGTGGAGTGGGTTGGAAGGGCTGTATATCGAGCAGTTTTCCGACCTGGCTGGTGCAGCAGCAGTGTAGCCTTTGAACCACTGATGTCCGTACCTTTTTAAGGGTGTTTTTTTGCGAAGCACTTCAATGAACTTCTTCAGGCTCAAGTTAAACAAGAGCCCAGAGGTACAAGCAGAAGTTAAGAACAGATGCATGTAGGGATGAAAACAGGTGGCACTTCTTTATACACACAACTGTGGGGTGTCCAAGACAACACTGCCAGAGCTGGCTCTTTGGGATCATTCTTCTGGGAATGAGCAGGATGAGCCAAGCATACCCTTCTATAGACTGTTACTCGTACTAGCACAAAGAATACAATCTGTAATACACACTTCTACATACACCTGCCATGACCGTACATCAGACTTAGTCTTTCCTCCATTTCTTCCTGTCCTCTTCCTCTCTCCTTCAGTTGCTGTAGAAAGCGGGGTGCCTGTGGGTGGAGCCACAGCCTGCCTTGTCGTCACGAGAAACCAGAAGGTCTTCTGAAAGGCGGGACTTCCTGCTGTCACTCGGAAACAGGTATCATGGCAACAGTTATCTTAGCGCTTCCCTTCCAAACTTGACTTGGCACCATTAGCAACCACCGGATGAAGTCTGGAGGAATGGGATTAATTAGAGCTCATGTGTTCGCCATCCTTTCAACAGACTTAAACAGACTAATTATAAATAGCAGGCAAAGATCTCTTTAGAGACTGCAGATATTAGAAACTTTCAGCAGAATTAAAAAGAACTCCACTTAAGTGTCTTAAAGGAATGAGTGAGATCCTTGTCTTTCAGTAATCTAGAAAAGACAGCAGCTTGTTTTCACTTTATACTTAATGCCGTGTTGAAGGATTTGTGTTTCTTGCCCAGAGTTTGAGTGCCAAGCTGTGCGGTATTGCTGTGCCGCCAACAGTTCCTTGATTTTGACAAAGTGGTCACAGCTAGAAGGTCTGTCTAGCATTCCTGCCATATTTAACCACTCTGGACCCCTGCAGTGTTCTGCACACTGTGCAGTAAAGGTCAGCTCCTGGGACAGAAGTAAATACTTATTACTGTGACAAACCAGATGCAGCTACGCCTGCGGTTGAGCTCATGTTCACTCTGGATCCAGGCTGCCCGTTTTAATCCGACAGGACTCCGTGGGTGGCTGGGATCTAAATGTTTCTCCCTCTTCCATTAATGGATTGTTGTAATAGCGTGCCATGATCCCGGAGAGCGAATCAGGTGCTGCGTCTGATGGCTTAACGAGCAATTCTTTTCTTTTGGGCAGATGTACCGCTAGACTGTAAACAAGCGTTCTCTCTTTCTGTCTCTCCTCTGCTCGCCCCGTTGCAGACTTCCCTCCCTATGCCCGAGGTACCGGAGTGTTGCTCTGCAGTGTAGACTGTGTGTTGTGCTGTGCTGTGTGCTGTGCGCTGTGCAGTGCAGGTTGTAGACCTGTTCACATAGGAACTTCTGCAGAGCGTTCAGAGCGGTGTTCATGCATCCTGGAGTCTCCCATGGCCTTCTGGCCAGTTTTAAAACAAAGGTCTACAGGGCACATTTTCGAGAAAATTTAAAGTCTCATTTCTGAGGCAGGACTCAGCCTCAAAGTCAGTGGCAGTGGTACGGGTGGCTTAGGAAACATCTCCAGCAGCGATGGTCATGGAGCAAATTAGTCCCAAGTTGATTGGAGGGGAAGCTAGACCTATCACCTGTAAGTAGAAGAAGCCACACCATTCCAACAAGCTGAATGGAAACCACAAGTGCTGTAATGTAGCCAGACTATACCTTGTGTAGCTTCAAGAAGTCACAGCGCCCAGAATTACCAGCTGTGATGCCCTGAAAACGTTTTTAAGGCGGCATGCTCTATGAAGATGGCCTACAACAGATCTGGAACATCAAGCGTTGGATGAAGTGAGACAAAATGGCAGCTGGTGCCTCGACCTTTCAGCTGAGCCTCTTCCCTGTGTAAACTGAGGATCATTTGTTCATGTACTGAGTCTTTCATTTTAGACTGGATCCTCCCTGTTTTCAATCCACCTTGCTACTTATCAAGCCCAGATCAATTAGCCCAATTGAATTTCTTCAGCTTTTAAGAAGTTGGATGGGAGATTAATCCTCATAATTAACACCGGCCCTGAATCACTGTTGGGGTTTCACAGCTCACTCACACAGCTGTGGGAAATCGAAGTGGCTGGGCTTCCGCAGAAGATGCAGTCTTGGTAGGAGAGTTTGACGGGGTCACTCCCATTGTCTTTCTCTGGTTGTTCTTGAGTAGCAGTCGTTTAGGCAGAAATAAGGCAGCAGCCACTTTTGAACATGTGGAAGGAAATCTTCAACCTTTGCTTAATTTCTCCATCTGCTTAATTTCCTTGCAACAACACATTTTAAAATGTCAGAGAGCAGGAGCATCTTACAAGACCCAGTCAAGGTAGAGACAATGAATGAGGGAAACTCCAGCATCGCAGTGAGTCCTTGGGAGGTGATGGCACTGATACCATCTCATCCTAACAGTGAGACCCATTTCACTGGCACCCCAGTTCCCCGGGCAGATTGAAGTTTCTGCATTGTTGCAGTTGGTGATTATACATTAACGTTATCAGGAGAGCAAATCAACACGATTCGCAGCCTGAACCCAATGATGACGCGTCTCATTGACTAATATTGCCACGTCCCCTGTCAGGAGTCACAGGGGGAAGGAGCTGAGGCCAGAATAATTTCACTATTGTGCAGCAAGCCATTCGGCTGCACTCCTGAAAAGAGGTGGGCTGTTGCCTATATAAATCATCCAACTGGTTCTATAAAACATGAATGAATCAATGGAGGCATCTGCTATCATAGAATTTGATGAGTTAAAGTTGCTTTGAAATGTGTCTGTAAGACCTATAACTGCCATCAAAAACTGCTTGAGAGCAAAAACTGAAAGCGTTTGATTTTGGCAATAGAAGATCTTTTTATGAGGCCGGATTATAATCTGGGAATTGGTAAAATCGGTAAAAGATTAAATTGAGTGCTGCTGATCCATGGCTATTCCTGCAGTGTGTTGTAATAGGCAAACGGAAAAGCATTGCACTGAGCCGTGAACAGTTTTCCGAACATTATGGCCCTGCTTTTTACCACCCCTAGGTATGCAGAAAGAGACTCCTGATGCTCTCAAAAGCTTTGGATTATGCCAGGGATAAGGCTGGGCAAGGCAGGAGAATAAGCTTTGTTATGAAACAGTTCAGCTCAGTGCAGAAAAACTGAAGAGAGGATAAGGACAGGATCAGTTCCATCCTGCTAACGCACAGCTAGCATGTTATAGTAGAGATATTTTAGATGCCAAATAGCATTTTGATCCATTCCAGAAAGGGAGATGCATAGATTAACATGAAGCGAGCATATTAGAGTCCTGCTTCACCAGAGCCTGCAGCGTGTAAAGCCCGAAATGGATTAAACTGCTGTGCAGTAGGAGATTAATCCATTTCTTTGTATTATTTGAATAAACCCATAATAGCATTTCTGGATCGCTTTGAATCTGTTCTTCAAGAAAAAGGGTCATCTTCAGGAATGAGGATTCTTCTGGATCTGATATTTCTGTGACAGATTTCAGAGGCCACTGCTTTTGTGTGGTGGGACCCACTGATGTAATTACATTGTGAGTGACCTTTTCTCTCAAAACCAGCCTCTCAAGGGTTAATTTGTTCATCTGAAGTTTCATGGTTGTGGATGTTTCCTGGCAGATATCTGAATGTATGGTGAGAAAAGGTCCGGGTACAGATCCTTCTGAATGGTCCTTGGAGCTTGTCCGTAAGAATCGCTTAACGTCAAACGTTCGCCTGGAAGAGCATGGTTTTGGGAGAGCTGGTGACTTGCTTCTTTTCATGATGTGGGGCAAGCCTATGCAGTCAATCGGGCCCTCCCACACGGTTTTACATAACCTGATCGACAGTGCTTGTATTAACCAGCCAGCCACCTGCTTTCTTCTTTTCATGATGTGGGGCACCAGCGCCTGAAATTCCCTTCCTAAAGCAATTGGCAGTGCCAATCTCAGGCCCGGCATGAGCTCTCACTGCTGTTGGGGCCATTATGTTATTTGGTGTTGTGGGGAAAGGGGAAGGAGAGGACACTGAGGCAATTTCTGTGATTATGTTTGGGTGTGTACCTTTTGCAGCTTTCTAGGATGTGTGCAGTTGCATTAGGGCGTACACCTGCAGGCACTGGTGCATCTTGATTTTTTTGCTGCATTTTCCAGTCACTAACTGGCTGTTTTTTTTTTTCTTTTCTCCTCTTTTGCCAGTTGTTTGAGAGGAAGATGGGGCCCCCTTCACCCTCCCCCCACACCACCCGTCTGGTTTGGATCTGCTTCCAAATCCTTTCCTGCACCTTTGCGACCCCTCACCCCTGCCTGCCATTTCCTATCCTGCACCAAGACTGGATTTTCTCTGAGGACAGCGCGGGAGTCGTCGTCCTCTGCCCACCGATGGCCATGCGCAGGCTGCTCTCTCTTCCCGAGAGACGAGACCAGAGACGACGCTGCTCCTGCTGACCGGGATGGAGGCTCCAGACCTGTGTGCTGCCACTCTGTCCCGGGTTCCCCAGAGAGCTTTCAGCCTCACAGGGTGCGCTGGGAGCTTGTGCTCCCATTGAGCACCAGACCTGAGGTCATGACTTTCGTTGTGTGCTGGGGGTGGGCTGTGATATTGCACCCGTTATTTAAAAACAACAAAAGCAAAAACCACAAAAGAAGAAAGCGACTGATATGCAGGACAGCAGCGAGAAAAGGGCCTTTCAACAATTGTTTCAGAGGACTGAAGAGTTTGCCGCCAGGCCGGAAGCCTACCCTTTCCTGGCTTCCTCTGAGGAAAAAGGAACGACAACCATGCGGCTGGGAACAGGAGGGGTGTCCGCCAGCCGATCGCGTGAATGCGTGTGCCCGGACGAAGGTCGGCTATCACTTAGCAAATAACGTGAGGCACGAGCAAAACTGGAGGGCGGCGCGATTCCTGGAAGAGCAAGGGATGGGAATCCCGGGCCCTAACCCGTGCAGCTGTGCATCTCGCGAATGGCCACGTCGTGCCTGAGAGAAGACACTCGTTAGAAAGCACAGAGAGAGCTTGAGGAAGAAAGGCTCTGAAGAGTGAAATCCGGCACCTGCCTCCCTCGGAGGTCTTTATTTTCCTTGAAGGACAGCGTTCACAAAACGACCCGCAGAAGTGCTTTATTAGTTTGTCTTGGGGGGGGATGTTTTTATTTTACACGTAAGCTGTGAAGGAGGGAGAATGCAGGAGGACCCGGGGGAGACTTGTTGGAAGTGCAGAGACTTGAGGATCAAATGGCTCCAGGACCGAGCAGCGCTACTGCGATTTGGGGACAGGTCCGCACGGCGCACTGTAGGAGGGAAGTTTATCGCACCCCCGTGAGGAAAAGGAGAAAAAAATATTTAAACAGGAAGTGCAGTCCTCCTCTGTGGTCATGAGTATAAAAACAGTCTTAAGTGTGATGTCTTACCTGCCGTTCCATGAGGGTGATTTGAAAAAGGCAAATTGTAGTGCTTCCAGAGCTCTGCCAATTTAAGGTCTTACCATCTTGGTAACCAATATCCTTTCTTTTACTATTATTTTATTACTGCTTTGTTATTGCTATTACTGTAATTTTAAAGCTGTGTGAATATGTATTTTTGAATATTCCTAGATGTTAAGAAGCAGTCTGATGACCTCCCATGCAACAAGCAGAGTGACCGGGCAGAACTTAAGCACACGTGATCTCATTGTGCAGACAGGGTGGAGGAGCCATGCCTCTATGCACAATGTGGATATAATTTTATATAGAGGTATCTGTGCGCGCACACGGCTCAGGTGTCTTCTACGTGCACTATGCGTGTTGTGGGAACATGGGTGCTAATGCACGAGCACAGTCTGGCCCAGCTGCACGGGCCTGGCATCTGTGCTTTTCAGCGCACACGCGTGCACGGACTCCAAAAGAGAGTTTTACCCTGAGGCCTCCTGGATTGGAGCAGCACTGCAGCACTTGTGCTCAAAGAGCTTTGCTACCTTCATTGCAATCAATTTGGAATCCTGGTAGGGCATCAATCACCAAACATTGACTAGTAGTGAGCAATGATGAGCTCTTGCTAAAGAAGGTGGGAAAGTAATGCACCTTGAAAACAGTATATGGACTAGGGGTAACTCCCTTATAAATTAGTTTCTCTAATTAAGATAGACATAGAGAACACGGGTTCTTACAGCACTACCAATACTTAAATCCCACATTGCTTTAATGCTAGAGAAAGTGATTAGACTGCATTTAACATATTGCCTGAAAAGATAACGTAATGTAGGAGCAATCCAATGACAACAGACTGGTTTGGGCCTTATTTGCACATGCAGTCCAGGTAATCCAGGTTGAATGGACTGGTCTAGACAACAGTTTTTAGCTTTGAACACCTGCAGAGAAGGGGCTGTGCACATTGCAGCCGGCTTATTCTAAATAAGGGTGTGGAAAAGTATCATTTGAATGTGTCGATGAAAGACATCAAAACTGGCCACCCTGCCGTGTTTCTCTTGCTTTTGAAGGAAGCTGTAGTCTTACGTGTCTGTAGGATGTCTGTTTGAGGAACTCGAATCTGTCCTTCCCTGCAGTGCATCTCCTGCCTTGTGCTGACTTGGTTTCCCACATGCAGAGCTCAGACATCATTGCAACATGGATACCAGCTGTAGCTTTTGTCCAACTTCATTTTCTCCTTCCTTTACCATCCATGTGAATTTATTGAAACACATTTGCACGAGGGTCCAGGCTGAGATCATCCAATGGAGTCGTGATGTGGCTCTGAAGCAAAAGCTCAAAATCACACGTTAATTGAGATGCACTTTAACACAGCTGCACTTCCTAGAATACATAGGCACTACCACTCTCTCAGACCTTGACAAAATCAGAGCACGCTCAGGCGCACAAGAAGGCACGTGCACATTGACGAACGACGCACATCCACAGGGATGCATGCAACTAGAAACCCTACGTGCAAGGCACCACCGACACGGCGATCACAGCTCTCCAGAACACAAGCTTTTCACTGACTCACTCACAGCCACGGTGCACACGGGTCTCGTTCATACACATGCAGACAACGGTCTGCTGCTCTGTCACACGTGTGGGTTTAACCGTTTTCTCAGTCCCTGACACATCTGTGATGACCCTTAAGATGCGTTCCTCGATCTCACTTTAACCTAGAACAACAGCCTTTATCTGGGAGACGGTGAGCATTGGGCCTACTCGCCCTCCAAAAGAAAGTACACATAGAAGGCTCATCAGACTAAATTTACTATAACATTCCTCCAGCTTTTGGATAAGGAATGAACAGGTTAGAATCCATTTGTTTTAAAGCACTTAATGGAAAAAGTTTGAATATTTTTTGGCTCCCTTAAGACTATGTATGTTTGTGACCTCCCAGATTCTTTTCAAGGTTCTTTCTCACTTCATTACAGATTGAGCAGTTGGCCCACAATTTATGGGAAAGACACGGATCTATATCTGAGAAAGTAATGGATATTTTGAAAGGTTGGTCATGACCTTTTTTTAAAAAAAAATCTCTGTTACAGACCATAAGATGAATCTTTTTTTTTTTTTATTTGATGAAGAATTAACCTTGAGGAATATTGATCCGTCTGGCGAAGAGGATGCAGTAACAGCATCGTCTCAGTTTTGTTATCATGAGTGTACAGTATTGTTTTTTTTTTGTGGTGTCCTTAGTGCACCTCCAGGTAAATCAGGAGATTGCTTACGGAGAATTCCACTTCGGCAGATTTGTGGCAGGGTATCCTGGGCTTTGGTTAATCCCTTTGTTATGTAAGGAAAGAATTAAAGAGATAAAAATACCTGGGGAAGAGGGGAAACAGAGGAGACTGGAGATTTTGTTTCCTTCGCGGGCGAGTTCAGCACAGATCAGACGGTCGCTCTGTGAAAGACCGCACTACGTCATGTGCAGTGGGGGAAATAGTGACATCAGTAACATGATTGGCTATCAGAGGTCACCGGGGCAAAGTTCAGAGTTCAGACCTGGGCCGTCATATCCCTGCATCCCACTAAGATCTAGTTAGAAAGAACTAGAAAGTTCCGACTAGAAATAGAAGCTCTCTGTAACTCTGCAAAGCAGTAACCTGGGTTCAGGGTAGGGATTTCTATAGCAGGAGACGGCAGTCAGCCTACCATCGCAATACAATGTTAATTCTTTCAGGCTGAATCTGCCAGGCTCAGATCATACTGAAATCTGCATGTTTACTACGGCCCAGGAAACGAGCATAAATATATGCAGCACCTGGTGTTAATTCAGGGGCTTCCAGTTCTGGTTCTGCGAACCCACACACCTGCTGGAGATGGATATGAAACCTTGTAACAGCTTTAAATTCAAGTCTAAATATTCCCAAACACGTAGAGGAGCCTTTGAGTTTTAGTTGTTAGTTTCTTAACTTTAAAATCTCCAACCTTCGAGTTGTCTAAAAAGAAACTTGCAAAGGTTCTGGGCCGCTTTCTTGTTCACTTAAGAATTCATTGATGTACAGAGCTCAGCTGCAGTGAAAACCAGGTGTGTGGGGGGCTGCAGGAGCAGGAACTGGAGCCCTTGGGCTAGCGTGCTAGAGCCTGTGAGAAAACCTGGAGTGGATCGGATCCTTCTGCTGCGCTCCGGGGAATCTCACTGCTAGTCCCAGTTTTGGAATCTGGCTTTGGGTCTGCAGACAGTGTTACGACGCAGTTCGTGACCGATACAAAATACTTGCGTCACACAGCTATGCGTGGTTATGGATTGCTTCAGCTGTAGGCAATGCAAGAGCAGTTCAAGCTCTGAGTGAGTCACTTTCCCAGCCCTGGAATTAATGTTTGGAATTCAGGATTGCTTAACCAGACCGCGAGGCCACAGTGTTGCAGACTCTTTCCCCGGCAGGCCGTCACTTCTGATTTTAACAGAAAAATAAGTGTTCATTTATTACACAGTACTCTGTCCCTAACCTCATTTTGTTTCACGGCACAAAAGGGAGTCACAGCAGTATCGGATTTGGTCATTCATTCCCCGACACTGTCCCTGCTATGAAATTCACCTTCCAGTGGTCCAATTAAATCCCCGTTTCTTTCCTGTCATTACCATTATTAAACTTCTTCAGGGATCTTCTCTTGACAGTGGAGGTTCGGTCCGATTTTCGTTGTTTTGCAATGTAGTTTCTGTATGATTTGCCTCACGGCTGTGTTCAGCTGATCGTATGCCCCGTTTCATCTCCGTCGTGCACCTCTGACAGTGGCCTGCTGGAATTTCACTAATTTCACGAAAAACTGAAGCCTAGAATCATATACTGTGTAGGATAAAACAGTAAATTGAGGAGAAGAGGGGAGATCTATTGATCCGATGCATGTACAATGTTGCATGTGCAACGATGGTGACGTGTTTGAGGAGTGAAGAAGAAAAAACTGGGTTGTCACTTTAGCCGTCCGAAGCTCTTCTTCCTTGCTGCTTTTGCTGAACCTGAAACGTGACATAACTTGTATTACTATTTAACAATGATGTAATTTATTTAACTTTATAATGGGATTAATTTATTTGTCCACTGATTAATTCTGTAATGCCATTGTTTATTTGGGTTTTCTTTCGTTTGTTGTTCTTTGGCTAGGGTTTTCAATAAGACTGGAATTTGTTAAGGCACCAGTGTCTGATTGGTCATTTCTGGTTCGGGGTACCGTGGGTGTGGCTGGGCGGGGTCAGGGAGATCAGAGGGGCGGGACTCTTTCACATGTACCAGCCAATGGGATTTAATCTTCTCAAGCCTCTTGCTGGTAGGAGACACCGGATCTCAGAGCACTTTTGGAGTCCTGTTGCCTGAGGAGTCATGTTACAATGTCTGATGCCATGCCACCTTCTCAACCTTCCTCCAGCTCTCTCCCCATTTCTTTTTCTCTTTCTTATTGCCCGCTCTGTGCCTCTTTCTGCCTTTCTCTATCCTTCCAGACCTCTTTCTTTCTGCCTCCAAGCCTCTCTCCTTCTGCCCCTCTCAATACTTTCTCTCCTGTCTTCACCCTTCTGCCCCTCTCTCTGTCCTGTGTTTGAGTCCAAGCAGTTACTACCTCAAGAAAAAAAATCAAATGCCGAAGCAACTATGAAGCAGAAGCCTGAAGGGAGCGTTTGATCAAATGTGCACCCCCAGGAAGGAGCACAGTTTGGCAGAACTATTGGCCCATCTTGTAAAGAATGAATACAGTAGCGCAGCAGGGAGGAGCTGGTGCCCGCTGCCACTACAGGCTGGCAGTCCTGTCTCGAGGTGTGCTGCATTTCACTCTAAATGAAGACCAGCCAATAGAGCTCAGCGATGAACCTCTGACCACTGTCAGATCTGGAAAGATGGGGAACAATTTCATTTTGACAGGTCAAGCAACTAATGAGGTCAAGTTGTTTTGATAATGTTTGGAATGAAAAACTGAACAGCCTGCCACGTTTTAGGACCCCTCCCCCCGAGATTCCTGCCAAGCAAATTATCTGATGGCTCTTTAACTTTAATGACTATACCCTCCACAGGTATTAGTTATTTAGCCTGTCTTTTTAAACTGATGATTATTGATGATTGTTAAACTTGCTTTACTGTTGCTGTCCAGGACCAGGGTTTCATTTTTTTTTCTGGCACTGGCCACTAACCAGTGGTTTCACTGTGATCACCTGCACACATCAAGTGATGTGTTCAATTATGTCATTTGCAGAGATCATTTAGCAGCAAAATCGAAGTACTCTTCTGCCCTTAACGATCAGAGTTCCCTCATACAATCAGTTTTCCAGTTGCAAGATTCATCAGTAGCTGACAGGTGCAGCAGTGTTTGAAAACGGGTGACCTATAAGAATAATGGGACTGGGGCTCTAGACCCCTGCTCTAGTGCAACCAGCAGATCAATGATTTGTGGCTCACAGATTGAGCAAAGCCTGCAGCCCTGTGCATCTCTGAAAGGGTCTGGGCACACCATCCAACAGTGTGTGTTTAAGGAGGGCGAATGGTGATATGGAGAGCTCATCAACACTACCCAGACACTCTCCCACTCTCACCTGCCAGCCTCTGCTAGTCTCCTCCCCTTGTCTTTCTGCTCCACCCCCACTTTTTCCCTCTCTCTGTCTCTTGTGTTGTCTTTTCTTTCACACTGCTCCTCATCTCCCTTTCAGCCTGCCAGTGTCCGTCAATCCCATTAGCCCGCAATTGGATTGGGGCTCGAGCTGTTTAGACTCCTCTGGCTCATCTACTCAAACCTCTTTTGAGTTAAGGAGCTCTGCAGCTTCAGGGACTGGCTGCTGGGATCGAGTGACGGGGGTTAGTGGAGGCAGCAGGCAGGAGGTTAGACAGATGAATGGATGCAGACTGCAAGCTCTCCATGCACAGGGCTGCCCTGCTGGAGAAGCAGGTGATCCGTTTCGGACAAGGCTCAGCTACCGTGTGCCAAACAAAAGACTTGTAAAGGGGAGAGGTTTCTTGTGTTGAAATGAGATTTAAATAATCAAAAACCCAGCAAAAGCTGATTTTGTCCAAAACGCCCTGAAACACGATTTCTGGTTTTATACTGCGCCGCGCACGTGTTCAAAAATGTTTTTTTTTAAAGGTGGCAGGGTTGAAGTGGTGTAGTTTTCTATCTATATAACTGAAACAGTCCTGAAGCAAATCGTTTTAGAACCATTTCAACCTTGTGTACGACACAGATCTTTCAGTGGGGCCAGAAAACAGCTAACTGTGGCCCTTGAGAGTGACAGGGTGAGAATATTTTCATTTCAAATTTCATTCCATTTAGGATTTTACTAACTCCTTGACCGAACAAATAGATCCCCTGCTTTAGTGGTCAGAATTGTTCTAAGGTTTTAAAAAATGGACAATTTCAGAGTGACCCTTGCATTCTGCTGGATTGCAGCTCTCCAGGACCAGGACAGAAAATGTGTTAAAAAAAAACTGTTTTACTGGTTAAAACACTCCATCCTTCCATCCTTCCATCTCCTAACTGCTTCTCCCAGTAGATGTCACAGAGGAGTGGAGCCTATTCCAGCAAGCAATGGGCCCAGGAGAGGATCCACCCTGGACAGGACACCAGTCCATCACAGGAGTGACACAAACACACTCACACCAGGGCCAATTTTCCCAGACGCCAACTACTCTACCAGTATGGCTGTGGACTGTGGGAGGAAACCCATACAAACACATGGACATCATGAAAACTCCACACAGATAGCACCCCAGGAACTGAACCTCAGGCCCTGGTGCTGCAAGGCAGCAATGCTAACCACTGTGACACCTGGTTGAAGCACTCATTTGTTGTATTTTTAATGTGTCTCATTATACGTAGACGCATTGATAGCTTCCAGGGGCAGTGGTGAAACTAATTAACAGATAAAGTAATGATCTATCCAGGGGCAGAATTAAATAAACCCTCATCTGCCTGCCTCCCCACTCTCGCCCTCCCTCCCCCTGTAAGCAGATGGTGTATAAGAGGATCCCGCAGTGTGGGGCCCGCAGTGTATCGGGTAAGGACGAGGTGATCATCTTAAAGCCTCCAGCCTCTTTGCCTCCACTGGCATACGGCCCAGTTCACACCATGAGACAGATCGGCAGTCAATCAGTAGGAGTGGTCTGCCTCCCCATAACCCAGTTCAGATTCTCAGATCTGCTCCCTCACTGGGAATATCCCATATGCAGTCCAGGGAGGTCACATGGGGTGTGTGCTTGGTGCGTCAGCACCGCTTAGCCCATCAAGCAGGTCGCATGGCTTCTCAAAGGGTGATTCTTCAGGTGTGTCCAGATCTTCCCATTTTGTGTCTGGGGTTTTCTCATTGTTTTCAGGAAGCGTGTGCCAGGAAGGAGCAGGTCGCAGAGCTCTATATATCTATGCAAACTGGAGATAACCCTTATCCTGAGTGCCCCAGCTTAGCAGGGTTTATGGGTGACCCCTAAAATGCCCCAACGTCTAACACAGCTTTGATTCTGACCAATAAAATAGTAAATGGGGTCAATCCTCTGAATTAAATGGAGTAATGCCAAGCAGCATTAATCAATTAAAATGTCTTATGTGTTCAGGCAAGTATGATTGGTTATGATTGCTGCACACGCAGTGTGACGTCCGTCATGCTCAGCTGCGGTCTGGGGGTATTGATGGTCGCTGCCCTGCCCTGTGACATGTGGTCGTGGGCCTGGCTCCGGCAGAATTCAAGGCAGTGGCTTACACAACCGCCCACAGTCCACAAAGCACACTAAGCCTCCCGTTTTACACTAAACCAATTGGTATTTTTATAAATACCTGCTGCTGAGGGATTAACCAGCCGGCGAAGATGCCGAGGTCTTCACGTCGGCAGCGTGTGGGGGTGTTAACTGGCCCCGAACGCGCTTGCTAGAAAGAGACGCGAACTTCCTCAGGCACCCCGACGAAGACCCAAGCGCAAGACGAAAACATCATGAGGGGACGGAGCCTCAGGGGTAGGGCTCAGCTCAGCTCCGCTCAGTTTATCTGTCACATGCACAAGTGCAATGAAATGCTTGTTTGCATGTGTGCTCTGGTACAAAGACATTAAAGGCAACTCCGAACGCGTAAACGCAGAACGGCAGCAGCAACAAGAAGACGTTAAATAACATACAACTTAAAAACAAGCCAGACAAGCAGTGTGAGAAGAGATCAATCAGTGTGAGTCAGGGGTAGGGGTAGAGTTCAGTGATCTGACAGCTTGTGGGAAGAAACTGTCTCTGAATCT